GCCTGACCACCACGTCAAGTTAACAGCTATCAGTCAGGGGATAATTATTCATATATATGTGTTAAAGTCGAAAAATTGGAAGGACGAACAGAAAGGGTCTTATCCTTGTTTTTTAAAGAGGTTTTAAAAGTTGAAGTTTCACAGTAGTAAACAGTATGATTTATTTTTCTGCTTATTTTACTCCACAGGCTAGCGCAAGTTTGATGACGATTTATTATGCTTACCTAATTTCTGACGTTGTATGCTACCAACTACCGGTTTTCGTTAGCATATTTTTCTTAGCTTTCGTTTTTTGTTTTTCTAAATATTTATTCATTCTAAACTGTTATCCCCCACTTCAATCAATACAACCTTTCTAAGTTGATAGATTAATTGTACACTTTGTTATCAATAATTTGATATTAATGTACTTGAGTAGAATCTAAGCAATACAATGAATTTGCGTTATCTTATACAGTTCTGTATTTACTGTGTTCACATTGATTGGCTGATATATCGTCTATTGAAAGTCGTTATCATTTGATAACAAGGTGTTTTTCATCGCATCTGAAAGTTAAAACTCTCTTCCTTTCCATTTATTTCGTTTTCAGTTATAAGAAGGAAAGTTTTTGACAACTTGATATTTCGAGTTTTATGATTGAAAGATACAGTCTCACAAAGTTCCTTGAGTTATATGTAGAGACACGAGTAAACGTTTCTACAAACAAATGATGGTTGTTTGAGATAGCTTACTTCACTTAACAATATTTTTATAGCGCAAAATTATTGGATCCGTATCAAACTTCAATCCTAATATTAAGGTTCACGAAATACTATCGTTTTTCTTAATATCCTGAAGACTGGCGATCTACCTGCGTCAAGTAGTATGAAAACAGATAATGCGATGTATACAATAAGTTTTATTAGTGATAAAACAGCAAGTTTAAAACAAAAAGGAAGCAAGTTGAATGTTCAATACCAGGATATTTAAACAAGTATTGAGTTATAATATCAACGTTGAATATACCAACGTTATACAAAATGGAATGCCTACTACAGTCAGACTGTGGTAGGCGTTGCTGATGAGAATCGCTATAAGTAGTATATATTGAGAGGATGGCAGAGATCACAGGGAATTACCATCAATGGGTAAGGATTCCGACAACAGGAACGCAAGAGATAAGGCGGGCATATGAAGAGCGAATCAAGAAAAAAGCAAAAGAGGAAATGAAGCGCATTTTGCAAATGACGGTTTTAGTGCAAGATGTACCATATTTAACGACTACTGTCCCACTTGCTGATAGAAAACATCCCTTCCTTCATACCTGACTTCTTGCTTCTTCCAACACAAACTCTGGATGTTTTCTTGTTGGATATTTTTTGATTTTGTCCAGTATTGTGTATGCTTATCACAAATGACTAGTATTGATAAAGCCATGCCATGGAAATTTCTGTCTGCCTCTTAAAACCAACACCAACAATAATAATAGAACCTATTAAAGAATTAACGAGAATTCATTATTTTTTAAAGATTTTCGTATGTTCCACAAATTGTTTGTTTAGTTTTTCAACTTGCATGTGATATATCTTGTTATATATCCCTTATATTATATATGATACATACTGACAAACTATTCATGTTGTAATTTTGTTTCCTTACCAATACACTAGCAAACCGAAGTACAGTCGAATAAGAGGGATGTCAGCAAATATTGATATGAATAAGTTGGCTATTATTCTCTCCAGGAATATAGTCAGTCGAAACATAATTTTTCCTAATCATCTCTATCCATCAACTTTGGTTGTATGTTTTTTATTTATTTTGGTACATTTCTCTCACTGTATAAATTTGAACAGAGTAGCAAAGCAAACTAATGGGATAGGACAATATAAGTTCTTTCTCACTAGTGATTTTTTCGTCACATCCTTATATCGATGTTACGCAGTCGGAAATATGTAAGAAAGATAAGTCAGTTTATATTAAACCGAAGAGTGAGAGGACAAGAGCAATGATCGTTGTATTCCTTGATATTAGCGCCACCTTGTACTACGGATTTTCCCGCTAATCAAGAGTGTCTATGAGAAGTTTGTCAGCATCCTGAAAGCCTTATACTTCAATACCTCAAGTAGAATGAATGCTTACAGTCAGCTGTCTCCGTTGTTCCAAGTCAGTGGTAGGGTTGAACAAGGCCTAATTTCGCCATTCCTGTCTAGTTATGCTATCGATGACATTCTCAAGATAGCCCTAAAGGACCTGCGTAATGGTGTACACCTGTTGCCAAGTGAAAGGTTACCACTAATATAGAGTGAGGAATGGATTTGGTTATTCAAATTTTTACGAATTTCATTTTCCAGTGGCTTCAACAACAGATAGGTGCCCATCGGAAACTACTAAGAATTCCTATATATCTTTTAAAAATAATGATACGAATTCCGGTTATGTTAGATTCATCTAATTTGTAGTTTCACCTAAATTGAGAGTGGGTACAAACGCCCAACAACAATAGTAATTATTAGCATCGCTTAAGTTTAAAAACGCCAACCACTCGATGTTGACCGGATGCGAACTGAAGGTAAATAGACCAACGCAGAAACACAGAAGCTCAAATTGTCACCCATGCAACACAACAGATTGATACTAAAACAGAGAAGTAACGCATAAGTATACTTCACTGTGATCGACTTTTGGTTAAGTTATCAAAAGTTTTAGACTAGTTTCCTAACTTCTCGAGGACTCTCCTTTAGATAGCCTACCAGGATCAGTCATAGACTTATCTCAGCTACTTTCATCGTCCTTTCAAACTAGTGCTACTTCAGCTAACACTTCATAAGAGACGGCAACTCAACGTGTATAACGAAACCTCGATTCGACGCCGTATGCAATATAAGGTGCTTACCCTAAGATACCAATCAAGATAGGATGTATTCAATTGCTCCCTAGTTTCAGTAGTTGCCTATAGATGCTACTTAAGGATGAATGGCATCTTATATAAGCCTCATTTGTACGAAATGAAAGGTAATACGATAAATATTTCCGGATGCTTTTGGCAGTGATGTAGTCAACAAAACCTCCGCGCGAGTACAGAAAATATATTTGGCTCTTGCTAACTTTGTCTGAGACATAAGCATATTACGGTATAACTATACGGTACATCATAGCACTTCCTTAAAATGCATGACCATGAAGTATGGTCGTTAAAAGTACAAAACATTAGACCAAAGTAAAGCGACTAATGTTGATAAGCAGTTTCGATTGGAGTATTTTAGATGCGTTAACGAAATATAAGCTATACTCGAAACATTATGATACCCAGGTAGAACTGAATATGTTTCAAATCGGTACAGATATGATACGAAAGTTTCAAGTAAACAAAAAGTGACCTCAGCCTAGTAAGAAGCTGAAAATTTCATCCCTTAACCCCACAAAACCATCAGATGATGTGTGGTTGAAAAACTCAGGTGACATTAGTAAGAGCTGATGTTAGACACTCAAGTGTTTATATGACTGAAAACATAAACGGAGAACCTCACACACCGGTGTATCAGCTCAAGTTGTCATATTTCACAGTAATACACAAACAACAGATGGAGACAGAAAAAGTGATACCAAAGGAGATAAAGTAGCATGAGAAAACAAATAATCTGAAGATAAAGGTTAGTGTGGATATTCAAGCTCTAGAAGATGTCAAGGAGTGAATACATCTGCACCATTGTGACCGATTTTCAGCAGTCATCAAGAGTCACTCCTCAACCACTGATTCCTTTCGCCCTGAGGACCCCAAATCAGGCAGTTTACATTTCCACACACGGCTCAGGCCAACAGTAAGAGACTTCATCAACTGGTGTAAGGTCGTGTTCTGGCCACTCTGAACCGTCTTCCAACCTAATCCAACTTCCCCTATCATTGCACGTCGATGTAGGCGGTGGCTCGGCATGCGCAGTATCTATCCAAGCTATTTCAGTCGACTAAGGTTCACAACTTCATCAATTGACTTGCTTATCTTTCATATTACCCTTCACCTGACCTCAACATCGCTCATACGGCAATTCCATCCCTTGCGAGCAATGCTAGGAAGATATCTGTGATCGAAAATGTGTGATCACTTCATGTCTTCTACTTTTGACGACTATGTCTGCAAGTTATACAACAGGACAAAAAGAAGTGCAGCGCGGTATACTTGTTCTTTGATAGATAGTTGGATATCTCGCCAGTCGGCGCCACAGGTGACGCAAGTTTATAAATGCCAATCGGACCTTCTGTATCCGAGCTGAGATTTCGTCAGTAACCAGCCTGAGTTGATGTAACTCTCCAAGTATGTTAATTTGTCGACACATTCCAGCACTACACTCCCTAACATTAAACTGGGACTAATGCAGTAGATCAGTTCTAGCGTATCATGTTAGATTTGACAGCTGGCAGTGAAACGCATGGCAAACACACTCAGATTTCTGCTCAACGCGTCCCGATGACGCTGACAAAATACTCAGTCTTCTGAAAGCGTAAAACAGAAATTTAAGTGTTTGGTATGCATCTTGCACCTGTTTATATGCTTTCTTTGTCATAAATATTGAACAGCATAATAAACAGTGCCTATTTGCTGGTTGTCTTCTGATGCTTTCTTTCCAATGCATCTTACTGGTGTTGATTTCTTCCTGTAGCACTTTTGCGAAGCTTAACATCTTGAACCGAAACAACAGCCTTTCAGATTTCACATCATTTCAGACAATCAGTTCGAAATTTTTGGGTTCCAGAAGAAGTGAAACTGTTAGCTCTCTCAAGTTGTTACCATTTGAACGCTTCAATGACTGACTAACGAAAAGCAACGACCAACGACATTTGAATTTTATTTCAATCACCCAGACCTTTACAAGTTGTCATGTGAATGAATGATAAGCTAATACCTGTTAATAATCAAACTTGCTACACTCTAACATTTTACTTGATCCCGTTTAAAAATGCAAAATTAATACCAAGGATGTGAAAAGCAAACCACTTCTATACATAAAAAATTGGTATAATTGTTTATAGATAGCAATTTCAGGTTACACATTTACAGGTATCTTAGTTGTGGTTGTTGCCCTTAACTCATCTATTTCTCTGGCTACCCTATGAGCGACTGGTGGTCCTTGATAAACTAAACTTGTATACAATTGTACTAAGGTGGCACCAGCATTCAACTTGGCCAATGCATCTTCTCCGCTGCTTATACCACCAACACCGATCAATGGGATAGCACCTTTAGTGATAGCAGAGATTTTTTGTAAACATTCGGTTGATTTTTGCAACAGTGGTCGACCACTCAAACCCCCATATACAACAGATTGTTTACTGTCCCCCGATATGAAAGCAGCACCACAAGCCATAGCCTGTTCATGGGTTGCTAGTGTTGTGTTCGAGATAATCATCCCATCGATTCGAGTCTAGAAAGTAGGAGAAAAATTTTAGCATTAGAAAAATTCATAGTCCAAAATATTACAGAAAACAGTGCAAGCTGATAAAAAAATCAAACTCTCCATGAAACTTGAAGAACTACACAGATATTCAGATAATACATAATGGATTCTTTCATTATTCTGCCATGCCCCCCCCCCGTATAACAGTATTTCGGCTGACTGCACTCTCTGAAATGACCTACACAACATGTCTCTAAAGAATAGTCATCTACACGTATGAAGCTTCAATGAATTTGGAGGAAACGATTGCAACAGAAGAACTATATTGTAGAAGATTTCACTAAACAAGAACTAGTTACAAGTTCTACTTCTGTCAGCTAAATGATAAATAATGTTTAGCAAGTATGAGACCAACAGAAGTGGTCACCTTAAAAAAATTAATTCTTTGAACTATGGCGACGGATCGGATTCCCTGTAAAGGGAAATATGAGAATTCATGAAGACAGTCAAGCAAGTAGATCATGCTTCTCAGAGGCAACCGTTGGTTAAGGCCATTAACATCTTCTGGCTTTAATACAGTTGTCTAAGTTATTATTATCATCATGATATCGAGGCATATATCGATTTTGGCCGACCAATTCGATTCAATCAACGACGTGAAATGACAAAGTCATAACATCATTATCACTAAAAGTAGTATTCATCATGGACTGACATAAGTTGGGGAACCATTGGAAATCTGGAGGCACTGGACAGCTGTTTCGTCCTAGTATGCGACTCCTCAGCAGTACGCACCCCACGACCCGGCTACGGATCGAACTGACGACCTTCAGGTTTCACGGCGAACGCATTAACCATTCAGCCACTGGGTTGGTTTCCAGTGGTTCACAATTTCCAACTTCTGTCAATTCACGACATAGCGCGACTGTCATCCAAGGTCTTCAGTTGACGTCCACTTCACATCCGACTGGTTGACCCCACAGGTTACGGCTTATTATCATTAGCCTAGAAGACGTTAAAAGATTGTTAAAATATTGCAATATCTCAACAGAAGTGAGAAAAACTGAAGGTATTGGAGAAAGTACATATCTAGAAGAAACTGCCTTAGTATTAACGGTTCCAATTACAGTTTCAGTCTCCTAGTTTACTTTAAGATTTATTATGAGATCTTATTTTAAGTAAGCTTTGAATTCGTATGACTGACTAATGACAATTCTTTTCATGTAGTGACGGTTTTGTATGACATTAGATATGAAAATTCCAGTGAGAAAAACGTAGTTAACAACCAAAAATCACAAAAATAAGACCTACTGACATATTTAAAGTAACTGATCCCTTTGATAAACTTAAACAGCGAAATGAGAAGAAGAAGATTATCTAAAACATGCGTGATGTATTACCGCTATACATTTCGAACAATTTGATCATTACATATGGACTTGTTAAACTATTTATATGAAAAGGATCAAGAAAGTTAATAGAAAGCATAGGAATAGGAAGGGAGAGAAAAAGAAACGTTAATCACGTTACTCTTTGCATGAAAATTAAAATCAATACTACCAAGGTAGGTTCAACGTGAGTATAAATTATTTTTGTATATATAAAGGGGGTTTGAATTTATGGATGGCAAGAGCTTCAATAAATTTAAGCACTTGGCCTCTGACCACTTTTATGTAGTACTGACATATTTTGATGTGTATTGTATACACTTGAAATAGGGGTGAAGTGAATTATTATTGTTATTATTGTTATTATTAGAGTAAATTATTAATTGAAGATCAGTTATAGTGAACAAGCTAAATCTGATTTTCTTCCTCAATGCATCTAATCTGTTTGCTTCAATGAGCAGAATTAATTTATACAGAAAAACACTTTCATCGCTTAGTGATAATAAGTTAATTGTATGTCTATATATCTTCTCACTTTCGAATCCAGAGCAATTTCTACTATATCCCTTAAATTTTGATCATCTTCATCTGGAGAAATTTTCAGTAGAATAGGTGTTCGCTTCTTTAACTCATTTCGAGCTGCTAAAACCTATGAAAAAACAAAAGGGGGGAAGAGGAGGAGGAGGAGAGATACTTATAAGTTTACTTTAGAATAACAGCTTAGTTTTTTCAATTAATAGTATATGAATGAATAAAAACCTGGTAAAATCATTTGTCAGGTCAATAGGAATCCATTACTTTTATAGGTACAGTTTTTGAACAACAACAGATATTTTGAACCCTACAACTCTTAGAAAAGAAAGCTTTCTCTTTTGAAACTGTAGTAAAGATTTGCAGCTCAAGTTGTAGACGTTCTAACAGGGTACTGTTAACGATCGGTAAGCAGATACAACTATCCTATAAAATACAAGACTGTTGAAAATACGATAACAAATTGGGTATATCTTTTTTTAACATAATATTTCATCTTGGTTTACAGTTATTCACTTATCAGAATTTCCATAATGTAAAATTGGTGTTCTTACCATAGTGAAGTATCTATTCAAACAACCAGAGACCTTAAACACATATTAAGTGGATATTCTGCAGGTAACTCTCGTTCGAACTCACTTTCACCAAACAAGGTGTGGGCAATCAAGTAATATAATAGACCACTTGACAATGAGTGTGGCTTGTTTACCAAAAGCATGAAGCTACATATGGATGCTGGGTTAAAGTAATGATAGCTGCCACCTAGATGAGTTAGTCGGGCTTACATATCACAATGACCCAAAGAGCCAATCTGTCTGGAACACTAGTTTTTTTTATGTCCAACCAACCCAGAAAGGTCTGTTGAGTAGTGGTAAGACAAAAAGTAGTCACTGTCAGTGTAAATTCCCAAGCTATGATGGGGGTCCGAGGGGGAAGTTGAAATGTTGACTGGGCAGGCTGACAGAAGTTAGATATTTCCCGCGGATGACCGGCAGCAACATATGAATTCTACCTTTCATATGGAAAGGAGGGGCGGAATTACAGAAGGTTGCCCCTGAGAATACTACACTCCTCAGTGCCCTGCGGTGCCGATGGTATGACTTTTTCCTATCCCACGTTAGAATAACGAAGTCTCAAAACAACAATCCACAGAAGGCTGTGTGATAGGCATATGGTAGGTGTCCCATGAGCTCTGCACATACACAATTCTTCCTTTTCTCTTTCAGAAACCCAGACGAAATAACTTCCACTGTGTGGGCGGCCGAGAATTGTCAAGCGCCTGATGCTTCTAGTAGTATTAAAAACCCAACTACACACAACACCCCCCAATTACCCGTTTCTCTTCCTTTCCCTTGACAAACTGACAGTGAAAGTAAGAGAAATGGATAGGGCATTAGTATTAGGTAATGCTCGGAAATTATATAGGCTTATTCAAGGTATTGGCTGGAAGACAATGGTTAGTGAAAACCACCGGAAAGGATGATACCCTGATAACCTAGAACGTTTGGGTGGACACTATGAAGCACAATTCAACTGACCCACAGCAACGCTTCAGTTGCCCAACAACCAGCCTGAACCTAAATAGGAAATCAATATCGGTCCTCCAACTCTCGTAGAAGCTGAAAAAGCTGCTTCTAACCTGGAACGATCCAAAACAGCAGGACGTGAAAGTTAGTCACCTGAAGTTCCCAAGGATGGAGGAAGGAAATTGCTAGTTAGAGTGATGGACGTGTTAGGTAGTGAATGGCAATCAGAGGTAGTACCGTCAGGCTGGTGTACTTCAACTGGTTATTCCAGTCCGTAAGGAGGTGGAAACTTATGACAACCATAGAGGGATTAGTTTGTCTAATATTGTGCCCAAGATCTTTGGGTTCACGGTTATCCCATGCCCAAGAAGAACACTAGAATAACAAATTCAAGAAAACCAGAGAGCTTCGAGACCTGGAGGAAAATGCATCGATCAAATTCTCACCCTTCGACAGGTTCTGGAACACAGATATGCTTGCCATCGGTCAACACTTGTCACATTCCTCAACTTCATGACGATATTCAATTCCATCACCGTCAGATGTTGTGGTAGTGTTTGACTTTGGAAAGAATACAGAATAAGAATATAACGCCAATCGGAACTCTTTACTCGAACTCACGCAACAGTATGCAGGGATTATGAAGAGTTCTCATCCAAATTGACTACAACTAGTGGCAACCGTTAAGGATGCTCGGTGTCACCGTTCCTGTCGAACTTTCCTGTATCAATAGACACAACCTTAGGTACGTCTGACTTTACAGCGATTGACCTACTCCATGGAGATCGTATGGATGACTTGGAGTATGAAAACCTTATTGTCCTGCTGGGTGAAGACTGACAAAATGTAGGGTCTTGTGAACGCGTTGAGCATAAATGTTTGCCATGCGGTTTGAACTTGTTAAATGTAAGCTGATGCTTTAGGACTGCCCTGTAACTACTCCCAGCTTAGTAACAGGGAGTGATGTAGTTAAATGTGACGACCACTTCACTTACTCGCAGAGTTGCATCAACCTGTCGAATAGGTTTGTTGCTGACGAAATTTTAGCTAGGATACAGAAGGTCCGTTTGGGACTTGCTAACTTGTGTCATCTGTAGAGTCGGTGAGATACTGGACTACCTATCAAAGGACGAGTGTGCTGCAGTGTAGTCAGTTTTGTCTTACTATACGGCTGAGACGTGGCCGTTAAAAGTAGACGATGTGACAAGATTACAGAATTTTTACAACAGGTATCTTCTTATCATTGTTCACGTATGGTGAAGTAACCATATGAGAAATGTTGAGGTGATGTGAAGTCGGTCGATGAGGTTGTTAACTCTTCAGCAACTGGACATGTACTGCATATGCCGAGCCACCGCCTCCCTCGATGTACAATGCTAGGGGAAGCTGGATTAGGTTAGAAGAAGGCCCAGTGTGGCCATACAAAGACGTGGTACCAGTCCACCAAGTCTCTGATTGTTGGTCAGAGCCGTGTACGGAGGTGTAGACTATCTGGTTAAGATCCTCGAAACAATAGGAATCAATGGTTGAAGACTTGGTGTTATGGCTGAAGATCGATCGCAATAGTACAATTCTATTCACACTTTAACGTCTTCCAAAACTTGGACATTTTAGGTAAACTATGCCTTCAAATTGTTTCTCCTCCCATACACCTTTACTTTAATATCGGTCCTTTACTTTAGACTCATGCTTTGCATACTAATGTGAAGTTTGGCAAATTGAACCGATGAACTTGTATGCGAGGTTCTATGTTGATTTTATGTCTGTCTATCTACTTAATGAACTTCTCACAATTTTTACGCTTCTTTATAATTGATTTAAATACTTTATTTATCTTCTCTATTACTACTTGTTAAGGCATGCATATTTGGTAGAAGTATAAAGTACAACATAAAATCAGTAGCAGTTGGCCACTCAAACATTTATATTGTATCATTTATCTTGCACGTAAATATCATTTGATGCTTACTTTGTTCTCTATAAATTGTATACTTTAAAAATAATGATATAAGGTGAATGAAATTTAGTTGTTGTTTTTTGTTCCTTATTCATTCAACTTACTTTTGATAAAAGATCATGTAATTTTGCTTTAGTTTGTAATGAACGTAATCCTGGAGTATTTGGACTGGATATATTGATTACTAAATAATCAGCAATTTCTCCAAATTTTTGAACACCTGCTACATAATCAAATATTGGATTTACACTTGTTTTATTACAGCCTAAATTGACGCCAACTACACCTCGACCTGAAAAAAGGATGAATTAAATTATATAAGATTGATAAACACAAGGGTAAACCAAATAGAATAACAATGTACAATATTATATAATTAATTGGCACACATGTAGAATCTTATTAATTTAACTGACTATTAAGGTTACACTTATAAAACTGATTATCAGTATGCAAGATAAGGAGCTTTACCTTTATATATATATGACTTTTTGAATCTGTGTATATAACATTTCCGTTCATTCAGGGATAAGAACGTCTGTGAACAAACACACTTGCCTTTAAGAGGACATGACATAAGCATGGATTATTAGCTTTTAGAAGAAAGGTTATAAGAAATGCATAGAAAAAGTCGATCAAATAAAGTTCTTCATAAATCTATGAAGAGTAAGAGAGCGATCCTGTGATAAAAGAAGTGTATGATTTTCAACTCTGCAATGACTAATAAAGACAGAATGTTAGGGAAATATGAATGAATAGTTAAATCTAGAAAATAATCATATTTATGATCAGCTTACCTACCTTCCCAAGGGCGATCTTTGAGTCTTTTATACACTGCATCATGCCCATCACTGTTAAAACCACATCTAAAATTTATAATCTTGTATAAGATAAGAAAGAATATAGGACATAAAAACAAGAATATATGTTAGAATAATTATTAATTACTACATATTCAAACAAAAGTGCACATCTTATATAAAAACTAAGGATACTTGGAATTCCATTAATTTTTAAGAAAAAACGTTTAGATACTGTGATTTTCATTGTTTTAAGTATGAATACTATTGTAACTGTAACTTGTAGGTAAGGGTAGAATTTAAATCCGAATGATGATAAGACATAAAAGAATGGATAGCTGGACTCGATAATTCAGCTGATGAAATAAGACAATTGACTCATTACGATCAAAACGGTAACTGTCATACAAAGTCTAACTAGATGAATATCTAAAAGATCAAATCATTGGTAAGCTGACTATGGGAATATATACAATACTGATCCACGAACAATGACATTATTGAGATGAAATAGTCACTTATATACAAAAGAAATGTCTGAAATAAAATAACTTTAAAGTATATCAGTTTTACTATCTAGGATAGCTGTGGTTTGGCAGAATTGTTATTGATATTGGATGATGATTAAAGGTGTAGGCAAATTTGAGCCACGGTGGGATTCGAACGAACGACCACTGGAAACCCGACGGTTGCCGAAATGGTTCAATAAGGAATGTGTTACATCTATTCATTGTTATTTATTCAACTACTCATTAGTTTTAAACACATACCCTGCTTTTCCCTGCTAATATTTTACTGGTTTCTCCTCGGCTGTTTACTATCATCTGATTGATCGACATATTGAGTTGATCGGCAGCAATATTGATAATAACATGTCAGGAATTCTCATGGTAGTCGGGCAAAACCATTGGTGATTAAAGTGAAATGAAAATACGGTCAGTAGTAGGGTTATGTAGCTCAGTTGGTAAAGAGCATAGAGACAGAAACCCGGTGATCACTGGTTTGAATCCAGCTGCCACCCAAATTTTCATTTCACCTTCAACTATCATCCAGTATCAATGTTATTCTGTTAAACCACGATTATCTCAGGCAGTCAAAAATGGTAAGTATTGAAGTTGCAATGACTTACGTACTTTGCTGTTACACTACTTCAGATGAGTTTTCAGTTTAGGCCACCTATTTATTAATTATCATTACACAAAGAACCACTTAATACTACTATGCGAAAAACGGTAATTTTCTGCAGTAAAGTGACTCTCGGTTGTGTAACTTCAGGTGAAGTCAACAAGAAGTACAAAAATCCGAATAAAATCAAAACGCACTAATAAACTTCAGTCACACATCTTATTCAATGAAGAGCTCAAGTAAAAAAAATATGGATACTAACAGAACGTTTTAGTACTTAGGACAAAAGATCACAGCAAGGAAATTATGAGATAAATTAGTTAACGATAAGTCACAGATAAGTCATGTGTTGATATGACTTCAACTCATACACCTAGTTCTCATAACGAAATTGAACGATGCAATGATAACATCAATAGCAGGATAAGCTGACATCATCTTATTTTATAGGATTTACGACAAATGAAATACACACCAATCATCTTTAGCCACTGGTGGTTTGTAGTGCACTTATTCAAATGGGTTAGAGCACTTATAAAGTACAACTCACAGTGAGCACTCAGTTAATATCAAGATGTAGTCTAGCAATGCTGTTTTAACAGCACATGTTGCCACACCTCACCTCAGCACACTAAGATACAAGGCATGAAAATCAAAAATAGAGAGGACAAAGCAAATAACGAAATGAGAGGCAACCATTAAGATAAGGTGTGAGTGCATATGCACCACTCACATAGATTCTCAGTTGTATCACACAGTCTCCAATTACGGATTTTGTTGGTCATACAGATCTCAACCTAGAAGTCTACATATTCCTACAAGACTAATATCAAGGGTCAGGGGCTTCATGGACTGATACCATGTTTTAGTTTGGCTGCCATCTATCTTCTTATTGTCTAAATCTACATCGGAGTAGACGATGATATGCGCAACACATGTACCAGTCAACTGAGCCAAAGAAACTTCACAACCTCAATAAATGACTTAATCCCTTTTTCTACGAGTCTACGTCTAAATTCTTTATTGCTAACTTTGTGGTGAACACCGTATGGAAATAAGTTGCTAGTCACTGAAGTTATGAGAACATGTACACTACCTAAATATCTGTGTAACATATATGCCCCACTTCTTTACGAAGTTAGTATCATCAAATCTGGTGATGAATCGTCCACCACAAAGTATTGAAGCTGAGAGAACACCGAACCATCACTACTCGAAACTGTCTTATGGTTTAGTCTATCAGAGTTAGTTAACACACAGCTCTCAGGTATATTCAGTATAGAGCGAATGAGAACACAGATTGCAAGCATTTAAAAGGGTTAGTCAAAACTTTATTAATGTGTGTATATTGTCATGGAAAAATTACAGCTCACGGTTTTCGTATATGATTGCTGTCATAAATCGCAGAAAGTTAAAGTGACATATAAAATGTGCTATAGCATAGTCACTAATTCAGTGATAAATAGATATTATGAGGGAATGTTAGCTTTCCAGTTAGGGTTCGCGTGACAGTCAAAGTCGGTGGTTGGAGGCCCTAAGGGATACTACTCAGAACTGACCAGTAATGCAGATGCATCCACAGATCATTTAAATCTTCATGTCACATTTTGTCGTCGTTTTACTCCCTTTTCCTCGTTTCTCACGACTTTCTACTAATTTTGATTACTATTCCCTTTATTGTCTTTTACCCTGACACGCTGATATGGAGTTGTGGCTTGTTGGTTTAGGGAGTCGACTTCCGAGCAGTGGATCGCGGGGTCGAGCGCCGCTCTATCTACTGGGGTTTCGGTAACCTTTTAGCCCTCACACAATAGAAGGGGCTTATTGCCTACTGCACGAATGTGCACAAGGTTACTGAGTGGATTTTAATTTGTTGATGCGAGGTGTGACAACCTGGACCGTCATATAGTGAAACAAAATCACATGTTGATATTGATTATCTGACTGAACTATGCCATGAAAGGATAAACGAAAGGCACCACGACCATAAAAGTTTAATTGCTATGAGTTAACTATGGTACATCACATTCGAGTCGCTTAAACTACAAATCATCAGTCAGAGTGAGCCAACAATGAAAGCATGTAATCATTTTATTTTACCCGACTGCATAAAAGGGAGACTATGATAAATTTGTGCAAAAATAATTTCAATGGGCCGTATTTTGGAATGATTACATACATTCTATTCATAACTCTATAATCAGCATAATCTAGCTAAGCATCATATTTATGCACAATCGAAAAGCATTCTTACCGATTTATGACAGCTTCACGATCAGTCCATCTGAATATCCGAGGTCGTTGATTTCCAGGTTGAGGATTTGGTGTGACAGTTCCAACTTCAACGTAAGAAAATCCTGCGTCCAAAAGTCCCATAAACGCTTCTCCATTTTTGTCAAAGCCTGCAGCTAGTCCAACCGGGTGGTCAAACTCAAGTCCGAAAACTTTACACTTCAGGTTTGGAAAAGCATTTCGAGGTTTATGAGGTATAAAACCATGACTTGCTGCGTAAACTGACAATTTGTGAGCAGTTTCACCATCGGAGACCACTAATCGTGCAACAGGCATAACCCAATCCCTATAGAACCGTTCATTCCCAGAATATAAAGCTTCCGCAGTAAACACTCCAAATCCAAGACTTAAGACACTCAGAGTTGTCCGAATTTTACTCATTGATAACAATGAACCTAGGGTTAAAAGGATTTTTTTTTTAATACTGATAAATCTAATGTATTTTGAAAACTGAAAGGAATGATCGAGATAAGCGTTCGTTTTTTTACAACCTTCAATATACTTGGGTTTACAACTGGTACTGTAATATCAGTGCTAAATAAACAGCAGCAGGTGTTCAATTCATGATTTCAATGGCATAAACCCCTAGAATTTAACTTATGAAGACAACAATGTACACCGTTGTGTTGAATTATGAACCGCATCTTTCGTAGGAAGGTTAGGTGTGATCCGGTGAATAAGAATGAATGCTGGTGATTTAAATACATCATATTACGATTCATACTCCGGTGAATATCATCAAGTCACTTACCAGAATTTCTGGTATCATTATTATTAATTCTTATGAAATGCACTGAAATAGTAAGTGCACATCTGAATTAATGCAGAAAAATTTGGGAAAAACCTCAGCATGCAGATTGAAGATAAGTGCATTTAGACAAGTTATGCTTATCTTGATGTAATCCATTGTCTCTATTCTTCTGTTACAGTGTTCTGTTCCACAAAGAACGCCTAAATGGAGCTCAGGAACAACGAAATGGAGAAAGATAGGAATGTTTCAGACACAAATGAAGGTAGGTCGACCAAATCTGAACCCTTAGACAGGTTACAGAAAGCAGGCATACTTACCTGTGGCCAACAATTTTTATACTTCTTGACCTGAAGGTGGTATTTGACTCTATCAGCCATCAGGTGTTGTGACAGTGTCTGACTCTGAAAGGAGTACACAGAAAGTATGAAACGCTAATCAAAACTCTAATCAAAAACATGCAACCGTTTAGTTGTCATCTGAAGTGACCATAACTAGTGGTGTCCACCAAGGATCTCATATCAACAGAATCGTATAGTCATTATTTTCCTTAATATCTCTAAGATACAATGAATGCTTTTAATGGGCAGGTCTGGTTCATAGGAGCAGTAGTGTGTCATCAAAGAAACTCGATGAAGTTTTAACCACTATCACCGATATCACAAGCTATCTCAGATTCTGTCTCGATATTTGCTGCCCTGCTGAAACAATCTACATGAGATTCGACAGACTTTCCTCTAAACATCTCAAAAGGCTCCGGAGAGAAAACGAAAGGCTGTATAAGACGAGAGACTATCCTGGAGTTAAAAGACTTAACTGTATAATTAAGTCTGAATTACGTCTGAATACGATTTATAACCAGTTTCTACCGTGTAAGAACTCTTCCAATATATTAGAAGGTAATGATCGGGGAGGTGGATAGCAGTGTGAGGAAACTTGAGTTGTGAGGGCGGTTGGAAATTATTTAGAGATTTCCGGTAAGAAACAGATGACAAAGGAAGCTTGTTCGGATGTCTGCACGTTAAACAAGTCGTTTATACGTCGGCAAGCTGATTTCACCCTTCCTACTGTCCAAAGTCAAATATTTAGCTGCTTTCCTGGTTACAATGCACATGATGTATTTAAGTGCCTAAAATCCTTGAATCCATTCCAAAGCTTAGATCCTGATGGTATTTCTAGTATTGCATTTAGAAAATGTGCAGATATTTTATGTCATCCCCTTACACATATCTTCAATGCGTCGTTTTCTGAAAACATAATACCCGCTGCTTGCAACAACATCAAAACTGTACCTGTGCCTGAGTTATCTTCTGGATCAGCTGTTAATTCCGACCCATCACTATAACTTCCCCTTTTCTGAAGACAGTGGAGAAATTACTTCTCCTTGTAATTAGGCCTTAATTGATGGTTTCAGATATCCAAAACAGTTCGCTTACAAACACAGGAGAAGTACTTTAGATGCTGCTACTGTCTTACACTATAATATTGTTTCTAGTCTCGGCAAAGGTGTTAAGTATATTCATTGTGTCTTTTTGGATTACTCATCAGCCTTTGACTGTTCCTAGACCACTCTTGTTAGATAAGCTTACCGTAGCTCATACTAAGCCATGGGTTACAAAGTGGCTGTATTCTTATTTTTCTGAAAGGAAACTGTACACTGTCTATAAAGGGAAGCGCTCGACTTCATTGCTTACTGAAGCTGGTGTGCCTCAAGGTGCTGTACTTTCTCCTTCTCTGTTTTCGTTCTTTCTGCACGACTTACCTTATTCTGTTGGAACTGATTTCATTAAGTATTCTGATGACCTCACGGTGTCCAGTTAACTCTCACTTAGATTGCTCTAAATTAAACGGATTCTTGTTTGTAGTTGGCCAATGGTCTTTCTCAAGTGGTCTCAAGTTAAACCCTTCTAAATGTCAGACTGTTAATTTTAGCCTCAGGCATAAACAAGACTTGTGTGAGCTGCTTAAATCTCATGACGTCTGTTGCACTGATGGTTTTTCTGCAGAAAGTAAATCGAGTGTTAACCATCTTGGATTGAGTTTTACTTCTGGTCTTTTATTGGTCGTCTCATAGCTTGTTGACCTGTAAAAAAATCTTTCGTTTAACTTATTACATGAAGAAACTGAGGCTCTCTGGTACAACTCAACTCCTACCTTTACAATTTATTAATTCCTGCATTTTATCTATTCTTTGATACTGTTCCCCATCGATCTTTCCTGGTCTTCTGAAAAAGGACTGTATTATGTTGCATAGGGCTTTGAAAGCCGTCAGCCAGTAGGGTAAAGTGGTGTGCCTCTGGCTCAACTGATTAACACTGTAGTTGATAGACATTTAAATTCCAGCAAGCAACTAGCTACAGTAATTTTAACTGACACTGAGCATTCACTTTATTCACAGCCCTCTTCTTGTGTCTCCTCAAGGAGGACAAGAAGAAACTACATAAAACTGTACGTTCGTACAGCTAAGTATAAAAATTCAACTGTACCTTATCTAGCATGCATATTTTGTGAGGAAAAAAGTGTTAGAACAGAAATCACACATCAACTTTGTAACAGTTAATAGTCTCATTTCAATAATTTAACTAACAATGTAAATTTTTTTCGTTTTTAGTATTCATTACATCACTTAAATTTTTATAATGACACAATTGGAAATGTTGTAAAGGAGTATGTATAAACATATATTTTGTTGTTGTCGCAATATATGATGCTGCGAATTCCAAATTGTATCACAAATTGTTTGGAATAAAGTCAATTATTATAATTAAGTTGAGTATTACGGATTCGCAGCAATCCTTACGAACCTCAAAATGAGACAAGTAGGTGCTCATATGTAACCGCATAGAGAAGCAATGGAAGGACTTTATTCAAGACCACCGGTCTCAAATAAAACAGAAACAGTTAACATTCTATTGCCTTCCATATGGATGCGTCACTACCTCTGAGAATCTGTAGGTGTAATATACTTACTCTTACTTATCCAGCTTCCTACGGCAAGTAGTTTTCCCATCTATTCTCTTTGCCTTTCTACCTGCAGGTTCTAGCCAGACTGATGAGTTTCTTGACCATATCCAAATAAATATGGTGCATCTAGGTTGGAGGAAAAGTCCAGATTATGTCAATCGGAAGTTTTTCTAGGCCGGACTTAACACGATGATGTATCCTTTGAACTTGTGTACGGGATGTGGTATCAGTCGTCAAAGGATAATCACTTTTTGAAAGTTATTTTGCTGTTAGTCCTGCATCCTACTAACATTTATCACAACCTGCAGTGCAATTATGGCTAACTGTGTGCATCGTACACGAAAGTGTAGGTATGTCAGACACTACAGTGACAGGCTTCGAAATGATGAACTTACTGTGACATTCACTGTTTCTCCTTAGAAATATACATCAACTCTGAAGCAAGTTCTTCAGTGTTCATTAGCACCTCCGTATATATTCATCATAAAAACGTTAATATAGGGACTTGTTATTCGACCTAAAATTGGCCACAGGTGCTGGCATGGACTTTTTGAGACGTATAAACCACAGAAGTTAGCTTTCAACTCAATACTATCGAAGTTGGTACTCATCATCATCAATATCAACATAGGACCAGGCATTACTGTGTAACGGTCCGAGTTGCATCAAGTAAAAATGTAGTGAAGCGGAGGATGAAGAAATATAAAGTACGAGAAGAAAGGAAGAATGGGAAAATGGTGAGGTTTAGTATAGAGTCGTTAAGATGAGGATAATGTGTGTATACATCTGCTCCATTGACATCGGTTCTCAGCCATATCACTTAGAGTCAGTCTCCAACCACTGGTTCCTCTTGTCCCGCCGACCCCAACCACCTAGTCTGCATCGTCCTACATGGCTTAAACCAACAGTAAAACACTTCATACATTGGTGCCATGTTTTAGTCTGGCCACCTCAGGCCTTTTTCCAGCCTGGACCCATCTCAGCCAACATTGTGTGACGAGGCAATCGGTGACTCGGTATACGTAGTACGTGTCCCGACCATCTCAATCGATGAAGGTTCACAACCATGTCAACTGACTTATCTCTTCTCCCTCGCTACAACTCTACACCTGACTTCTGCACTACTCACGTGGTTACATCACGGAATACGTCCTATACTACGAAGGCAATGGTGGTCAAACATTTGAACCTCCTAATGTCTTCCACCTTCATTGGTGATGTTTCACAGCCATACAGTAGAACAGACCGAACTGCTGTGCAGTACACGCGACCCTCAATAGACAATCGGATATCACGGCGGCGCCACAGGTGGCGTAGGTTGGCGAAAGCCAATCGAGCCTTCTGTATCAGTGCAGAGATTTCACCGGCCACTGAGCCAGCAGAGCAGGTCTGATTTTACTTCCCAGGTAAGTGAAATGGTCAACACACTCAACCACTACACTGTATATTGTTAGCCATGGTGGGGTACCGTTGAAGACCAATCCATGAGCAGCAATTTGCATTTGGGTGATGAGAAAGGCATCCCAAACATTCTTAAATTCCCACTAACAGTGTTCAGAAGACTCTGCATCTTGTCAGCGCCTTCACTTAACAGATTTATGTCATCTGCATATTCTACGTCTAACGAAAATTCTCCTGTGATTAGGTCGTCTGTGTAACCTGGTGACGA